GGAAACCACAGCACAGCTGTTACTCCAATCCCAACGACTTGGAGCTAACTCCTCACACAGTGCCAGCACACAAGAAGAGCAAAACAGAATCACAGAATCAATAGGCTGGAAAAAACCACTGAGATCATCAAGTCCAACCTATGACCTAACACCACCATGTCAACTAACTGCCATGTCCAGTCCCTCCTTAAACACCTTCAGGTATGGTGACTCCATTCTTCCAAATGTCCAACCTGAACCATCCCTGGCACAACTTGAGACTATATCCTCTGGTTCTGTCACTTGTTACCTGGGAGAGGAAAATGATTCTCACCTGGCTACAACCTCCTTTCAGGTACTTGTAGAGGGTGACAAGGTCACCTCTGAGCCTCCTCTTCTCCAGGCTAAATAACTCATTCCCTCAGCCTCTCCTCATAGGACTTGTGATCCAGGACCAAACCCTACAGTCTCAAAATTCCTCTGCCTCCACACAACCCAACTGCTTTCCACATCCCACTGCTCCCAGTGCAACTGGAACTCACAGAGCCTCCAGTATAGGCTCTGGGACCACACAGCAACTGTCCCAAAAATCACTGGGGTTCTTTGGTACAGTATTGCTCAGTGAGGTTCTGCTTCTCATGCTGGAGAAGACAGAACATGGAGTAACTACTGAGACAGTGAGGAACTGAACAAGTCCAGGTGGTGGAAGCACTGGCACAGGTTGCCCAGAGAAGCTGTGGCTGCCCCATCCCTATAAGTGTTCAAGACCAGGCTGGATGTGGCTTGGAGCAACCTGATCTAGTGGAAGGTGTCCCTGACCATGGAACTAGATGGTCTGTAAGATCTCTTCCAATCCAAATCATTCAGTGATTCTATGAAATTTCTTTCACTGTCCTCTATTATAAACACTTCAAATCCACCAGTCTTCCCATACTCCCCAAGAGGATTTTACTGTCAGAGCTACCCCAAATGCCTGGCTCCACCCCTGAAATAAGCACAGACCCACTCCCCACAGCACCAGAGCTGTCACACAGGTTGGATGGGGCTTGAAGCAGCAGGAAGGTGTCCTGCTCATGGCAGGAGGTGGAACTAGATGATCTTTAAGGTCCCTTCCCACCCAAACCATTCTATGATTCTCTAAGTGCTGCAACCAGATCAGTGATTTGTTTATTAAGGTACCAACAAGATGTTCTTCTGAACAGGCGTAAGAGTCTTTTGTCCCCCACATCTCAAATTGGAGCCCAAGATGACCCAAAGGTGGCAACTGCTAAAAGAAACTTCCATAGAATCATGGAATAGTTTGGGCTGGAAAGGACCTTAAAGCCCAACTCATTCCAACCCCATTGCCATGGGCAGGGACACCTTCCACTACACCAGGTTGCTTCAAGCCCCATCCAACCTGGCCTGGAACACTTCCAGGGATGGGGCAGCCACAGCTTCTCTGGGCAACCTGTGCCAGTGCAACTCCATACTGTGGTTACATCCGACTGGCAATAACCTGTGCTGGAAGCAGCTCTGAGGACGCTAGACTCTACAGCAAAAGGCTCCCCACTGCTCTGAGTATGCACCAGCCCTTTTCCACACACAAACCAAACGTGCCTTGCAGGCAAAGCTCAGCCAAAGCCCAGAATTTGGGAGGCACCTGCCTGGAACAGTTCCCTGCAGGCAGAGAGCACAATTAACTGTGACTGTCACACCAGGGAGAAACGAGCATGGGGCTGAGGGGCTGATGTGCAAGAGGAAGGGTGTGAGGCTCAGTCAGGCACCCCTAACTCCTGGAAAGGGTTTGTGGAAGGAAACGTGAAAGACTTTGTGAAAGACTTTTACCACACCCTCCAGAGACCTCAACGCTAAAGAAACGGCTGTATCCCCTGGGAAATGAGGGAGAAGGCAGACACAGCACTGCCCGTGCCAAGGCCACGGGGCTGGGAGCGGGGAAGCACCGCGGGCAGAGGAACCCGCGGCTGAGGCACACAGCAGGCTCCGGGGCAGGAGAC